TACTAGTATATTATAGTCTCTAATCTTATCAGTTTTTGTTTAGAAGTGATGATGGAATCTGTTTTTTATTACTAACTTTGTTCTATTTCTGACTTGTAAAGGAATTTGTTCCTAAAAAGGATTTGTTCCACCTGCACATAATTATTTCACCACCCCCTTTCACCGCCTCTTTTAGGGTTTTACTTTCCACTTCAGTATCACTGTAAAATTGAAATATCTTTATTAATTTTTATTTGGGTTATTTACTCAGCGAGTACTCGCGAGTACTCGGTGAGTACTCCCTACTCGGCCTATGACCTTGCAGAGTAGCACATTACTCGGCCCGAGTTATTATTCCGAGTTACTCGTCGAGTACTCGGCGAGTTAGCCAACTCGGTCAGTGGGTCAAAAAGGCTATTTACTCGGGAGTACTCGGTATTTAAAAAAAACATTACCTCCGCTTGGAAAAAAATTAAATTGAGATTATCCTCTGTGTTGTTTTTTATTCTCCCTCATGTTGCCTATTATATTTTTCTCTGTATACTGTAAGAAACTCTAAGAATTTTGGATTGTTCTTTGCTTGCTTGTGTTTCTTAACCTGGTGTTTTCATTGTACATTTTCAAGTCTTTGGCCAACTAAAGTGAATGTATTGAATGTACCCCTGAGACCTGAGTTGCTGAATGCTAAAATAAAATCTCTTAATTGAAAAGGTGAAAAATATAACTTAGCAAAAAAACATCATGTTTGGTCTTGGGTGAGCTGCAATTTTCATTTAGGGAACTACCTTTGAGAAATTGTTGTTCGGTAGGTGTCACCTTGAAGTTCCTTTGAAGTTCTTCAATTGGAATAAGAATAGGTGCCAAAAAACTGCAAAAAAATATTTGCCTTTCTTCCACTGCTCGTGCTTCTTCAAGTTGTATTCTGGTATTGTATACATATTATATGCATTTTAAGACAATTTCTATCCTTTTATTCACTTCTAAACATTTTAAGACAATTTTATTACTATATTTTAAGACTACTATATTTAAATATATTTTTTATATTTAATTAATACTAGGCCGAGTAATCACCGAGCAATCCCGCATAATCAGTCCTACTCGCTACTCGGCCCTTGACCGAGTAGCTACCGAGCAACGAGTAAACTACCTAGATTTTTATCCACTATTCTTGGTAACAATACTTTATTTTCTGATATTACTTAAAATTTCATATTTTCCTCAAAAAAAAAACTATGCTCATGAGATTTAATTTCGAGTAACTTATTAAACATTTTGGTTAGGTTAAACATAAATTAACTTTGAGAATTTCATAATAAACTTTTTCAGTGTTGTTCTATTCATTTGGGTTTTCAAGTTACGAGTCCTCTTTTTAAAATGAAGATGTACTTGGATGAAGATTTTTGGGTAAGATCAAAGAATATTTTAGATTAGGAATATCAAATATTTCACGCTAAAAATATATTGGAGTATCAATTTTAAATAATGAATTCACCATTTTGGTTTAGGTAGACAGGAATTAACTTTGAAAGATTGTTTCGAACTCATTCAATTTTATTGTGTTGATTTGGGTTAGGACATTGATCATTCTATAATTGAAATTTCTCTAATAAAAATAACATACTTTAGTATACTAATGGACACCATCAAGTTTTAACTTTGATAAGAATATTGCTACTCAAAGTATGCATCAGTATGGCTGCTGGGTTGCATCATTGACAGAGGGCATCGTATGTTTTCAACCAATGGGGGTGAGCTCATAAATAGAAGGAAACTTCGCATTATTATAATATTATAAAGGTGGTTTAAATTAATATAACATCATTTAGATAGAGGACAAATAGATAAAAGGATCATTCTCAACCGTCAGTCTTGAACTAAAATTAGAGTCAATCATCTTTTAGAAAACAATATGACTCGATGATCCTGTGATGGACCTAATTGAGCCAAACTCATTAAAACAGATCTCTCATCACCCAACTCTAATGCAATAGTTTAGCAAAATGAAAAGTAAAACGCAACAACAAAATTAGTCTAACCCAAACAAAAAAGAGAAAATGATCAAAATGTTACATGAAATTGTTTCAAGTGGAGTAAGTACTTCATCTTACACTTGAAATTACAATTTACAAAGTACATAAACTTTCATTTTTAAAGCCGATTAAGTACCTTTGCTCTATTGAAGCGTTAAAATAGCTGATTTGGCCAAACTATCGATTTGTAATATATCGCTCTAGGCCAACTCATCAAATAATTAATCTATAAAATCCAATTTCCCTCAGTTCACTCAATTCCATCCCTGCTCTTCATTTTATCTCTATGAAGTTGCAAGAATGTTCTAAATTCGTAGCTCGGCACACGAATTGGGCCAATTCGCCCACGATACATCAAAATCCGTAACATCCCAGTTCATCCACCAAACTACGACTCATTTTTCTATAAAAAGTACAAAATCATACGGAGTAGTAGATTATACTCCCTCCGCTCCATTGGACTTTGCCAATTTTCCATTTCTGGTCCCAAAAAACTTTGTCACTTTCCTATTAAAGCAACTAATTAGTGGTTCTGCACATTTCTCTCTCCTATGCACAAATCTCAGAGCAACCCCAACGCTAGTGTTTCTAGTTTTAGAAAAACATGACAATTGTCACATATGTAAAACACTTTCTAGTCCACGTATTATGAAGTGGAGTGGTTACATATTGGAAGCCAAAAACTGCTTCCAATGTATGCAAGTCTCGACCATCTCGCCTCACGTAGTGGAATTGATATATTAAATTAAATTAACCGTTTGCTTCAGTTTTTGTGAAGTCGTGCCTATATTTTTGTCTAGTCAGCAAGTTTGGGCTGCTTTCTACGCTCAAACATTGGCCTTCACAGTGTTTAAGTTTTTTTTGCCATGTCATCAAAAGACTACAAGCATTGGAGGGATAAATAGAAACACAATGTCTAATATTAGTGATCTGGCACACTATGCGTACACTAGACAGGCAGCGTTGAGGTTGCTCTCAATCACACAGTTTTTACTATTCTTATTTTTCACCTACCTTGCACTTGGCAAAGTCCACCGGGACCGAGGGAGTACTTACTTTTTAAACAGTTTTTATGTAAAAATATACGGAGTACTTCGTAACTATGAAGTGGTTTATATAGAAAAGTGGGATAAAATGTAATGTGACTATGTCCTATTTTATGGTATTAATAAAAATCACCACCACAATAATTATAAAATTTTTAAACAAAAATTTAATGTTTAATTTCATTATATTGAAATGAAAACATTAGCATTTTGACATATGAAAATAAAATTATAATAATAAGGATGTTTTTACTTGGACTGTAATGTGCTGGTCTGGTCTGGACTGGACTAGCTTAGTCTGGTTTCTTTGTATTGTTTTTATAACTATCCAATTCTGGTCTAGTCTGGGACATATTACAGTCCAAGTAAAAACATCCTAAAACATTTAGAGTGCGTTTGGTAGTAAGGATGGAAAGTTATGATTGAAAAAGTCAGGGTTCGACATGGTCAAGAATATTAGCAAATTATATAATGTATTTGTGAGATTTCTTCAATTCTAAGGTTAAAGTCATTTGGTACCATGATATTTTGAAATGGTAGAAAAATGATGTAATACAATGACAATCTAATCCTTTTTTTAGGAAAGTAGATCATAACAGCCAATTCACCTTAAATGTTAATAAAAAGCCACACAAAGAGCATACTAAATGCCTTGAAAATTGCAAGGGCTTACATTTTGATTTAACTTTATAAACATTCAAATAGTTTAACCCTTGTATAGTTGTATGGGAAGATATAGCAAAATGATGATATATGAGATGCGTATCATCAACTTAAGTATTTAATTAGTGTAACTTCCTTGACCCACAAAGTTCCAAATTCCATCGTGAAAACATTAAATGAATATCATCAAACTATTGCATATATTGTCTAATATACTCCATATAAAATATGACACCTTTCTTCTTTATTCCAGCTTGAATATTTGTTCTAATTTATACTTGCAATTTGGGAGCTAAGATTTAAACTAGATTATTTAAAATCCAAAACAACTAAAAATGATACCACAATTATTCATATACTCATATTTATATATATAATACGTAGTACATTACATTACTGAAAGTTAATAGTAATTAATTTTTATACCAAAACACTAGCATTCTTTTAGTTCATAGGACAACATATCATAAGTTCTCTAAAAGGAATGAATAGCAGAATTTATATAAGCAAACATTTAGCTGTTTTGTAACACATGAATGCATACTCTTGATATAAAAGTCTTGATCTAAACAAGAGATTTATTGGGCTGTAAAGAATATAAAAAATTCAAAGATATTAGTGCTGAATGGCCTAGTCCAGTATTATTTAGTTTTAAATATCTATGACCGTTCTCATACATGTTTTAAACAATACGATTTCGATTCGAAAAAAAAATCTATAGAATTATTTATATATTCGAAATATGGTTTGGTACCATTACGGGTCAATTTCCGTATCTGAATGTTTAAATTTAATAAAAAATTAGATGAAATCATATACTCCCCCGGTTCACATTCTTCTTTACACTCACCATTAATTGGTCAACTTAAATCACTCTTAATATTTTCCTTTATATATCAAATTTTTATCGAATTTAAATTTTCTTGATCAGGCTTTGTAGCGGATTTAATGTAGTTTCTAAATATGTAAATTTTATTTACTAAAAACAATCTGAGTGTGAACAGAAATTAAGTTGCTTTATCGTCGGTCAATCATTTTTTTCCAACTCCGGTACCCATTTAAAAAATGGGGTATCGTACCTACTACTCACATGATTGGTCCAAATCATTAAATCATTTTTCATTTAGATTTAAATAATGCAACTCCAACATTCTGGTTGGTCCAAGTGGACAAAAGTACGATACCTTTTGGGTACTCAACGTGAATAGCAAGGGAGTAACAAAGAAACGAGAGAAGAAAGGGGGGCGGAGTCATTTGCGACTACCACCAATCACATCGCTGGCCTTATAAAACTTTTACTTCTTCTTCGTACTCCATAACATTTCCTGCTAAGTATATAACTCGACAAAGCTATTTTGCTTTGTTTGACCTTTCCCCCCTCCTTCCTCCATCTCTGTTATTTCACCCAGACCCAAACCCAACATTCACAATGCAAATTGCACATAATTTCAGATTCGGGAAGTTGCTGCCGGCGGTGCTTCTTCTGTCAATGTTAGTGCTCACCATCTCTGCAACACAGAATAACACGGTGGCGGCGGTGGACGTGGCGAAGAAACTTCCGTCATCTCCGGCCACACTACCACCGCAAAATCAAACGCAGGAATTTTCATCAAGCAAGCGGAAAGTTATGTATAAAGGCAAGCCTAACCCTCTTCACAACCGATGAACCCGCCGGCCGGCCGGCCGGCCAACAGATGAAACAGGGATGTCTTTTGCTCTACCTGCCGGTCAGCCGATCCATCAATGGTTAGACTATGAATTTTTGTTCGATCTGGAAAATATACATTGTTCATTTAATTCTCAGTTGGGAAGTGATCATCCAGTTCCAGTTGCGTTCGGCGGAATTAGATTAGCTTGAGGAAACAGATGAAATTATTACCTAGCTCTGTGAATACGATCGATCCATCTGTGTATGATTCTTTTTTGGGAAAAGATTATTTGCTAATCCGTACAGGTTTCTTAATTTCTAAGGTTGAATGATGAATATTGATGATGAATATTAAAGGTTCTGGTAAATTTGCAGACTTGCTCTGCTTTTTCACATAAATAACTACCTATAAGTTTTTTTTTGAATATAGATAACTCCCTATAAGTTGAATTAGGCTTAGGTATCTTTTTCTGGATAGGGTATCTTGGACTTGTAGTAGTGCCTTTTTTAATTGTTTCTACCAACAAATTAAAGTGTGTAGCTCTATAGTTACTTTATTGGATGTGTTAAATCATGAAATACTCGTACAGATTCTTACAATATTTTGTTCTACTACTTCAATACATATTGAATAGAGACATACAATTCAATTGAAATCCATTAGATGGGGCACATCAAAATATTATGTCACAAAAGATCAATAGGAGGGGGATGAGTTGTGTTATAAAGAGATAGGAAGAAATCGAGGAATGCATTATAGTACGGAAATGATATTTGTACTTAAATGCGTTTTCAGACGGTGTTTGTGTTTCATTTCTTAGCAAAGTAGTCCTTGGGTGTTTTGATTTTGATATGTTATAACTGAGACTATTGCATTAAGAAATGAATCCCTGTCTAAACATATGTAACTTTTCCATATTTTCCCCTTATACTTCATATATTCGTTGTTGTTGAGATATTGAAAACCTTTGCACGTTGCTTTAATGTATTCAAATTTCAATGTCAAATGTACTATATATGACAACAAAGTTAAAGTAGGCTGGAATAATGAATATGCTGTATAGTCTTCTGAGGAAACTATCAGTTCTCTTTTGGTCTCTTTTGCTATTGATTCATTTGTTGTTTTGGAAGTAAGCCTCTTCCTTCCTTCCTTTTGGCCAAATCTCTTTGTTTCCTTTTGCACTGTCTTTTTGTTCTCATCTCGCATCCCCTCCATCTTTATAGTACATCCTTCTGCACCTTCATATTTCCAGATTTAACATTTTTTTATTTGCAATTTTATACTAGTATGAATTTGCGCACTTCAAATAAATTAATATTTATAATATGCGCAGTTAATTTTCGGCCTTCCAACAATTACATGTTCTAAAGGATAGGCACTCCGAGACCTAAACTTTATCAAATTTGTTTCTTTATCCCCCATTTTTTTCGTTTATTTTATTCTAAAGTAACAAAATAATACTCCAAATGGTAGTACGGACTAAAATATTTCAATGAAAATGAAATTGTAGTGTTGTTTTATATAAAACAAATCTTGTAACATACAACTTTTAATACTCAGTTCTAATATTAACATCCTAATGATTTTTTTTCATTGATCAAATATTAAAATTTAGAATAAAATAATTTTGAAACAAAGGGAGTATTACTTGATTACTTCTCTTTTTTGTACTAGCATAAAAACCAAAATTTTAACTTTCTTTTTATTCAAGGCCGCCATGATCCGTTTGATAACTCGTGTTTGCTTTCATTCTCCATCTATGGCCTTTACACGAAGGCATGATATAACCCACAAATTAAGGGAAACTTTTTCTGGGGGCTCCACGACAAGAGGTGCAATTTTAACGACAAGGCGTGTACACACCAAGTAAAGTTGTTCTCTTTTACCCTATCTAACTTGCGGAATAAGATATAAAAATACTAACACACTTTTAAATTTGTTCATTCCTCAATTCTGTCAAGTGTAATAATCTTAGTGGACCTCATAATTCTGAAAATAATACACTATCACAACTACTATTTTTGGATTTATCCTACATTCCATCACATTATTCTTATATCTTTCCATCATACCCTCAATAATTCATATCTTTTTTCACTATTCTTAATCTACCTACTTTTGAAATGAGAAGATTTTTAAGTTACGGAGGTAATACCATATATATATACGGAGTATGTTGCAAGAGGCATATATACAGCCCATTTGATAATTGATAGTCCGATTTATCATCCAACTTTTTCATCCAACTTCAGCTTATTAGACTTATCATCCAACTTTTTCATCTAACACGTAATTTTTGATTTCACACGTTAAATCGTGAAATAAAAAGAAAAAGTAAGATTGAATTTACTTTAAAATCTAATTATTAGCTACACCATTGCTACCTCTAAACCCAATTCAAGTTATTAATTTTCGTTCCGGTGGAATGGGGTTCAAAGATTATTACTTGTATGGTTATTCTGCCAATTTTAATCAACACGATTTCGAAACCATCCAAAATATAAAAAAAATCCCGCAACACCCAAGTTTTGCCCTGTCGAGGTTTAACAAGTTGTCCGGGGTTTAGTTTTCACCCATTTCATTTTCCACTAACGAACCCGATTTTAAGTTGGGAATGCCATGGCTAATTTATGAGTTTAAACATAATCTATAACAACTTTTCCTGAATATAATTATGTCAAAGAGTAACATTTTTAAAACACACAGTGATAATATTTTTGCAATCTTATCTTATTACGTAGTAACTAATAAACTTGACAACCCTATTAGCAATTTAACAACACACAATATAGAAAACTACTTATAAATTATACGGAGTACTAGGTAATATGAACGTACGTACGGAGTATAAAAGTATGTTGTTCCTTGTTTCCATTTTTCAACACATCGCAGCAGAGGCGAATCTAGGAATCTGGGAGAAAAACAATTATATTAGACTTAAATGTTAGCGGAGTGAGCTTAATAAAAAAAAATGACACTAAAAAGTTTGAAAAAAATTAAGTTACATTGGGCTTCAGTCCACCATAACTTTTACCTAGATCATCCCTTGCATTAGAGTATCTTAATTACTTACAAATTACACTGGACTTCAATGCACCAACTCACTTAGAATTTTTTTGAAAATATACCATGACTTACCTCTCCATCATTATGACGAGTCGGACATAGGGCGTTTGGGATAAGCAATTCCTCCTTTTAGATTGAAGATGAATGACTACCATCATTTCATAGTTTAAAAATGCTTTATTAATATAATACTCCGTATGAGATATATATACTCATATACTGATCAATATGATCATTCAAGGAACACAAAATAAAGAATAATACTATGATGCGGGAGAAAGTTAGAACCATTTTATGGTTGAATTAGAAAAATCTAAATCACACCGCAACGCCACACCAGCTTTGTAGAAATTGAAGTGCATAAATAAAAGGTGGTTCGGTTCCTCAAACATATCCATTCAAAGGAAATTCTTTCAAAACATGTTTTTTTGTCGAACCTTTTTCTATCATGGATCTCCATATATCATTAATCTTTTACGGAACATTTGTTTATGCACATAAAGCAGAATTGAAAGGTGTTGCTGGTTGATACCTCATACTACATTTGCCACATACGATTATGTTTTGCATGTGTAGCCAACATTCCATGTGACAGAGCAACTCATCATTTTTTGAAAGACCGTATTTTTCTAAAGGGTGTTAATAGTTACGTACTACGTACGAAGTAAATACTAAGATCCGGTTTGGTAATCATGTTTTCATGTTTGACAAGCTCATTTGCCAACTATATCACTCAACATGTAACTTGATTTTGCGCTCTGAATTGTGAAATAATTAGAAAACGTAACATTTTGGTTGCATTTCTAGTTATATTGGCTGAAATTGCGGTAGAAGATCATTTTAGATATATTTTTCACATATTTTTTTCATTAGTTAATTAATCTATCTATAGATAATGCATTTCAAAGATACAAATATGGAAAGTTTTGCCATGTGTCATTTCCTAAGCAAACATTAATATAATATTCCAAATTCTCTACGTAACACAACTATTAAAAATACTTTCTATAACCATGCAATTCAAATAATAAAATCCCATGTTTATTTTAAACTAAAATAACTTTTTTATTTGTATACTGATTGTTAAAAAAATACATTAAATTTCATAACTTTTTATTATCTTTCATATGACACTAATATTAAATATATAAAAATAAAAAATATTTTAACACTTTAAAAAACATTTGTATTTTAAAGTGGTATATCTTTTTGTATTTGTACTCCGATTGTTACAAAAAATATATAAGAATTTATAACTTTTTATAATCTTTCATATGAATACCAATGTTGCATATATAAAATATATGACAATGGTTGAATTGTTCAAAAGTAATACGGAGTATAATATCATTGTTCAAAAGTCAATGTCATACGTAGTATTATCTACTGCTGATACTTCAATTACAGAAAACTTTAATAGTAATAATATTTTTCAGCTACATTAATAGATTATTTATATGTATTATAATACTACCATTGTCGCTTAAAACTTTGTCATCTTTCACTTTTCAAACTATTAAAGTGTTGATTAGTATAATATTTGGGAATTGAAGTTATAAATTTTATACTTTTATTAAAGTACTTTTAACGTAGAATATTTTCATATCATTTTTATGTTATAAATAATTTCCTATAAATATATAATTAGTCAAAGTTGAACGATGTTTTGGTAATAATGAACGTTTCAACGAATGTAATATCATTTAGTTGTTCCATATGCTACGACAATTAACAAAAGTTCGGGACAATCGTTATCTAATATTGCATTGTTTTTCGCAAAATTCCATTATAGGGTTGAGTTTACCTTCTACTTCCTTCGTCCCGTTGAAAGGTTTCCATGGGTAAATGAGATGATTTTTTGGGCAAGTGATTAAATAAAGTAGTTTGAGTAAAAAAGAGAGGAAATAGAAATTGTGAGACTTGACATATAATGAGTAGCAAAAAAATTTGAGTAAAAGTGTAAGTAAAGAGGCTAAGTTATTTCCTAAAATGGAATGAGAACCCTTAAACAGGACGCCTAAATAACGTAAACCTTTCAGCACAATGGAGGGAGTATTTTTTATAATTACATTAATTTTAAACATGTTAAAATACATCGCACGGGTACTATACTAGTAAAATATATTTTAAATATAATTGTTTTCATAACTCAGCAAAATCAGTCAATCCAGCCGGCCACTTCAGCCAAATTTTCATAAATTTCAGTAGAATCAACCAATGCAGTCGATTTGAGCATTAGCAAATGGGCTCTAATACTATGTATTAATTACATGCATGGTTTTTATATACTACGTATA